GTACTTCAATGAACTTTGTGGTACATGTGTCTCTTTCAGTTCTGGTTTCCTTGGTGTGTATGCCCAGCACTGGGATTGCTGGGTCATATGGCAGTTCTATTTCCAGTTTTTTTAAGAAATCTCCACACTGTCCTCCATAGTGCCTGTACTAGTTTTCATCCCCACCAACAGTGTAAGAGGGTTCCGTTTTCTCCACACCCTCTCCAGAATTTATTGCTTGTAAACTTTTTTATGGCAGCCTACAATGGGCACTTTTTTTTTTCCCCAAACGTGGGTATGTTTACTTTTTTTTTTCCATTTATTTTTATTAGTTGGAGGCTAATTACTTTACATCATTGCAGTGGTTTTTGTCATACATTGAAATGAATTAGCCATGGATTCACATGTATTCCCCATCCCGGTCCCCCCTCCCACCTCCCTCTCCACCCGATCCCTCTGGGTCTTCCCAGTGCACCAGGCCCGAGCACTTGTCTCATGCACCCAACCTGGGCTGGTGATCTGTTTCACCCTAGATAATATACATGTTTTGATGCTGTTCTCTTGAAACATCCCACCCTCGCCTTCTCCCAGAGTCCACAAGTCTGTTCTATACATCTGTGTCTCTTTTTCTGTTTTGCATATAGGATTATCATTACCATCTTTCTAAATTCCATATATATGTGTTAGTATACTGTAATGGTCTTTATCTTTCTGGCTTACTTCGCTCTGTATAATGGGCTCCAGTTTCATCCATCTCATTAGAACTGATTCAAATGAATTCTTTTTAATGGCTGAGTAATATTCCATGGTGTATATGTACCACAGCTTCCTCACCCATTCGTCTGCTGATGGGCATCTAGGTTGCTTCCATGTCCTGGCTATTATAAACAGTGCTGTGATGAACATTGGGGTGCACGTGTCTCTTTCAGATCTGGTTTCCTCGGTGTGTATGCCCAGAAGTGGGATTGCTGGGTCATATGGCAGTTCTATTTCCAGCTTTTTAAGAAATCTCCACACTGTTTTCCATAGTGGCTGTACTAATTTGCATTCCCACCAACAGTGTAAGAGGGTTCCCTTTTCTCCACACCCTCTCCAGCATTTATTGCTTGTAGACTTTTGGATAGCAGCCATCCTGACTGGCGTGTAATGGTACCTCATTGTGGTTTTGATTTGCATTTCTCTGATAATGAGTGATGTTGAGCATCTTTTCATGTGTTTGTTAGCCATCTGTATGTCTTCTTTGGAGAAATGTCTGTTTAGTTCTTTGGCCCATTTTTTGATTGGGTCATTTATTTTTCTGGAGTTGAGCTGGAGGAGTTGCTTGTATATTTTTGAGATTAATCCTTTGTCTGTTGCTTCATTTGCTATTATTTTCTCCCAATCTGAGGGCTGTCTTTTCACCTTGCTTATAGTTTCCTTTGTTGTGCAAAAGCTTTTAAGTTTCATTAGGTTCCATTTGTTTATTTTGCTTTTGTTTCTAAAATTCTGGGATGTGGGTCATAGAGGATCCTGCCGTGATTTATGTCAGAGAGTGTTTTGCCTATGTTCTCCTCTAGGAGTTTTATAGTTTCTGGTCTTACATTTAGATCTTTAATCCATTTTGAGTTTATTTTTGTGTATGGTGTTAGAAAGTGTTCTAGTTTCATTCTTTTACAGGTGGTTGACCAGTTTTCCCAGCACCACTTGTTAAAGAGGTTGTCTTTTTATATCCTTGCCTCCTTTGTTGAAGATAAGGTGACCATAGGTTCGTGGATTTATCTCTAGGCTTTCTATTCTGTTCCATTGATCTATATTTCTGTCTTTGTGCCAGTACCATACTGTCTTGATGACTGTGGCTTTGTAGTATAGTCTGAAGTCAGGCAGATTGATTCCTCCAGTTCCATTCTTCTTTCTCAGGATTACTTTGGCTATTCGAGGTTTTTTGTATTTCCATACAAATTTTGAAATTATTTGTTCTAGTTCTGTGAAAAAATACCGTTGGTAGTTTGATAGGGATTGCATTGAATCTATAGATTGCTTTGGGTATAGCCATTTTGACAATATTGATTCTTCCAATCCATGAACACGGTATATTTCTCCATCTGTTTGTGTCCTCTTTGATTTCTTTCATCAGTGTTTTATAGTTTTCTATGTATAGGTCTTTTGTTTCTGTAAGTAGATATACTCCTAAGTATTTTTTTCTTTTTGTTGCAATGGTGAATGGTATTGTTTCCTTAATTTCTCTGTCTCTTTTCTCATTGTTAGTGTATAGGAATGCAAGAGATTTCTGTGTGTTAATTCTATATCCTGCAACTTTACTGTATTCATTGATTAGCCCTAGTTATTTTCTGGTAGAGTCTTTAGGGTTTTCTATGTAGAGGATCATGTCATCTGCAAACAGCGAGAGTTTCACTTCTTCTTTTCCTATCTGGATTCCTTTTACTTCTTTTTCTGCCCTGATTGCTGTGGCCAACACTTCCAAAACTATGTTGAATAGTAGTGGTGAGAGTGGGCACCCTTGTCTTGTTCCTGATTTCAGGGGAAATGCTTTCAATTTTTCACCATTGAGGGTGATGCTTGCTGTGGGTTTGTCATATATAGCTTTTATTATGTTGAGGTATGTTCCTTCTATTCCTGCTTTCTGGAGAGTTTTAATCATAAATGGATGTTGAATTTTGTCAAAGGCTTTTTCTGCATCTATTGAGATAATCATATGGTTTTTATCTTTCAATTTGTTAATGTGGTGTATTACATTGATTGATTTGCGGATATTAAAGAATCCTTGCATTCCTGGGATAAAGCCACTTGGTCATGATGTGTGATTTTTTTAATATGTTGTTGGATTCTGTTTGCTAGAATTTTGTTAAGGATTTTTGCATCTATGTTCATCAGTGATATTGGCCTGTAGTTTTCTTTTTTTGTGGCATGTTTGTCTGGTTTTGGAATTAGGGTGATGGTGGCCCCATAGAATGAGTTTGGAAGTTTACCTTCTTCTGCAATTTTCTGGAAGACTTTGAGTAAGATAGGTGTTAGCTCTTCTCTAAATTTTTGGGAGAATTCAGCTGTGAAGCCATCTGGTCCTGGGCTTTTGTTTGCTGGAAGATTTCTGATTACAGTTTCGATTTCCTTGCTTGTGATGGTTTTGTTAAGATCTTCTATTTCTTCCTGGTTCAGTTTTGGAAAGTTATACTTCTCTAAGAACTTGTCCATTTCTTCCAAGTTGTCCATTTTATTGGCATAGAGCTGCTGGTAGTAGTCTCTTATGATCCTTTGTATTTCAGTGTTGTCTGTTGTGATCTCTCCATTTTCGTTTCTAATTTTGTTAATTTGGTTCTTCTCCCTTTGTTTCTTAATGAGTCTTGCTAATGGTTTGTCAATTTTGTTTATTTTTTCAAAAAACCAGCTTTTAGCTTTGTTAATTTTTGCTATGATCTCTTTAGTTTCTTTTGCATTTATTTCTGCCCTAATTTTTAAGATTTCTTTCCTTCTACTAACCCTTGGGTTCTTCATTTCTTCCTCCTCTAGTTGCTTTAGGTGTAGAGTTAGGTTATTTATTTGACTTTTTTCTTGTTTCTTGAGGTAGGCCTGTAATGCTATGAATCTTCCCCTTAGCACTGCTTTTACAGTGTCAATGGGCACTTTTTAAAACTTCCTCAAATGTTTATCAAGTACCTAAAATGAGTTTGAATAAACTCCGGGAGTTGGTGATGGACAGGGAGACCTTGCATGCTGCGATTCATGGGGTCACAAAGATTCGGATACGGCTGAGTGGCTGAACTGAACTGAACTGAAAATGGGCAGAGTGCTTTGGCTCCTATAGAGATTAATAAGATATTACACTGCCTCAGAAATTTTATAATTGAGAATATGTCTTTTTCTATTGCTTGTCTGTGGAGATCAAGAACATAGTAAAGTCAATATGTGTGTGTGTGCTTAGTCACTCAGTCATGTCCGACTCTTTGCAACCCCATGGACTATAGCTTTGCAGGCTCCTCTGTCCATGGGGATTCTCCAGGCAAGAATACTGGAGTAGGTTGCCATGCCCTCCTCCAGGGGATCCTCCCAACCCAGTGATCGAACCCAGGTTTCCCACATTGCAGGTGGATTCTTTACCATCTGAGCCACCAGGGAAGCCCAAGAATACTGACTGGAGTGGTTAGCCTATCCCTTCTCCAAGGGAACTTCCCTACCCAGGAATCGAACTGGGGGTCTCCTGCATTGCAAGCAGATTCTTTACCAGCTGAGCTACCAGGGAAGCCTGAAAGTCAATATAATGTGGTTTAATTCTAAGTGGAATTATCCATTTAGGCAATGTCTAACAAAAATATAAATGCATGTACTCTTTCATTCAGCAGTTCTACACTGAGGAATTTATCCAAAGATGTATTTTTATAAATGTGAAACAATAAATGTACAAGAATTATTTTTTATAATATTGTTTGTAATCACAAAAGGCTGGAAACAACCCACAAGCCTGTCAGTGGAAGACTGTTGAAGTATATCCATTTAATGAGATAATGGAGCACTAAGCAAATAAGCAGCAATGCAAGAAAGGGGGGGGAGCCCTATGTATGATATAGAAAGATCTTCAAGATATATGTCTATGTGTAAAAAACAAACTACAGAATGTGCAAATAATGCTACCTGTATGTAATTTAAAATGAGGAAAAGCAAGAATCTGTATTCTTATTTGCTTGCAAGGCATAAAAAAATTCTGGAAGTTTTCATAAGAAACCAAGAACAGTAGTAATCTACTAGAGGGAAATAAGGAAATAAGGTTTAGGAGGGAAACTTTTTCATGTATTTTTTATACATTATAGTTTTGAACCATGACAATATATTATCTATAGTCAAAAGTTACATTTTTTAAAAATGTATGGAAAAGGAAGAAATATCTTGCCTCCCACTTGACATTGTTTTACTTCATTATTAGTGTTTGATCCTTTATGGTTTTAGAGCACAGAATATAAATCTAAAACATGGTAGGAAAATGCTGATTTTTATGGATTTTAATATGTTTATGATTCTGTTTTCCATCTTAGGTGGTGGAAGTAAATGGAATTCGAAAAATTATCGTTGTGCCTCAGACAACCGACTACTACAAGACCATGTCTGCTCCTATACAACAAGTATCACACTGCATGGCACCAACTTTTATGTATCCACAAGCCACTCAACTGATGTATCCCACATCTCAAGGGGAATTTCTGCCACCTTACATTCAAGAGCCTGTGCCACAGCAGCTGCCACCACCGCCACTGCTGCTACAGCCACGACTATTGCCACCACCACCACCATTGCCACTACCACCATTGCCGCCACCACCACCATTGCCACCACCACCACCACTGCCACCACCACCAGCAGCATTTATATATCATGAGCAGCATGGTAGTATATAATATTCTTAAACAGGAGATTTTTTAGTTTGTTAAAATTAACAGCTGTGGGAAAGTATTTAAAAAGCAGAAGATATATGATTCAACAAATGATTGCATTTCATGCATATATATTTTGATGGATAATAAGAGGCATTAGTTTATGTCTTATGCAAAATGCCCATAAACAGAATTTTCTATAAATTTTTTGTACTTTGACATAGCCTGTAATTTATGATATTTATTTTACTGACTGGATCTATAGAATCATATTGAAAAATCATAAAAGAATGTTTTCATTATTCATGGCATACAGTGGTATTATAAAAGACACATTATAATCATCTTTAAACCTTACAATTTGGAAGTAGAGTTACTCCCTAGGAAAACACTACCTGTATTTGCTCATGTTTTTCTTTCTGTATATTTCATTACATAACAAATACACACATTAACTTAACATCTGTATTAAAGTAAAGTAGGCTTTTTTTTTTTACATGGTTTATGAGTGCTTTTGGTGGTTTGAAAAAGATTTAAAAGATTTTGAGATATGTAATTACTGTAATTATTAAGCAGTGTTTGTTATTTCTTTTAGAAACCTATTCCCATGGAAGAGTAAATTATAACCAACTTGATGAAAGGACTGGTAAAATGGAAGAACATATGAAGAAAGAAATGCAAGAAAGACAGATTGATGGACACAAAAATAGCTGTATGATTACCAACACCTCACTGCTTTTGAACCAAGCCAATGATTTTCCCAGTATTCCTGGTACTCTGAACACTTACACTGTGGACTATGCTCCAAACACCTGCACTGTTGACAGTACTTCAAACACCGACACTGTGGACAATACTTCCAGCAACACTGTGGACAATACTTCCAGCACTTACACTGTAGACAATGTTCCATGCACCTACACTACCAAAGACACTTTGAGTACCTGCACTGTGAACAATACTCTGAACATTTACACTGCTGACAATACTCCCAGTACTCACACTGTTGACCACCCTCCAAGCACTTATATTACTGACAATACTCCATGGAATTCTTCCATTGACCATGCTTCTAATACTTCCACCACAGACACTGATCTGCACCCTTCCACCAGTGAAAATAGTGTTCAGAGCCCTTCCAGCACTAACCATGCCTCCAAGACTTCCATCTCTGACAGTACTCCCACACCACCACCTATTGACAGTACTCCAAGCTCTTCCATTCTTGACAGTGCTCCCAACCCTCCCATCTCTGAAAGTGCTCCAAGTACTTCTGCCACCAATGTTGCTCTCAATACAGCCAATGCGACCAGCACTTCCAACATTGCTAGTGCTCACATTGAAACTAGTCATGGAAACAAATGCATCAATCCAGGAAGTGAAGACATCAAGTGGAAACCAGATGGAAAACGAAGCAAGAGTCCATCATCAAATACTGCAGAAAAAGGTAAGGTGAGGATTTTGGTTTTGTTGCCAATAAACAGACATCCTAATGTTAGGAGTCTCAGTGCATTTTAAATATCTAGGTGCCATTTTCTGCTTCCATTTCCTGTTGCCTTTTTTATACCCTTACTTCCCAATTCTCAATAAAACCACAATTAGGCTGCCTTTTTAAATTATGGAGAAATGACCATCTTCATGCAAAACATGTCAGGTATCTTATATACATATCACATAATTTTTTCTAGTTATCTGCCAGTAAAACATTGAAAATTACTCTATCATCCTAAAAAGTTCACATGATTTTATTTAAATTGAGGACTTTAGTTCATCTTTTGTTAGAGTTCATTTAATGGAATACATTTTAGACTGCTTTCTTATTTTAAAACTTTTAATGTAAATTGCTAATAGATGTTAGTAGATCTCTTGGTGATGATATATTTGTAGTTGGGTAATGGGCATCTACATTTATCTTGTTTTTGCCAATGTAATATTTTGTTTTGGGTTGCTTTTTTACTTTTAGAATGCAGAACAGAACATGGAAAGTCTTGCTGTTTCAGCATTGAGAAACCTGTAGTAAGTGACTAAAGAGAATATTTAAGTATTTCTTTTCATTTGCCTTGTCACTGTAAAACATGAAAATTCACTGACATTGTCCCCAGCACAATTTTAACTTGAAGCCTTTACCTGGATAAAATTTCATAATCTTCTTTAGCTGTTAAATACATAAAGATCCAATGTGGCATTGTTAAAGATAATATTAATGGCTCATTGTTTAGTCACAGTATTTAAGCACCTAATATGAAAAGAATGATATACTTAGCATCAAACAAGGCTTAGGGAAAGATTACACCATAAATTACAGATTATAATTTTTAAGTATCCTACTTGAATTCTTGTTATTTGTTTTAGGTTTCTGATATTCAGACAAGCTCTGCTGTTATTTCATGGAAGACACATGGTTCTGAAAAATGCAATCATACTAAATCTCCTGTAACATTTGAATTAGCAATATCTAACAGTGGTAAAAATGGAAAATATATAAATGTATATACGTAAGTCTCTTTTTAATCATCTCTCATTTCTCATAATTCAATTCAAATATGCTCTTTAAACCTTAGCTTATATTTAGGCTAAGTACTAAAGATTTTTCTGCAGTTTTTTTTTTCAAGCTTTAGGTGTCATTTTCTTTTTTGGGGGGGGGTGTAATTTTCTACAGAAATAGTTTTATAAGTGGTGGTAAGTTGTTGCCGGGTCGGTTCACAAAATTCATTGAATCATAGGTATTTTAGAGCTGAAGGGAAACTTACATATCAATTGCTCCATTCTCTTCAGTTTACAGATGTCTTATATGACAAGTTTAGACTTGGGGAAGAAAAGATTTCCTCTACTTCTCCCTTCTCTTCTTTCACTTAAGGAAACATGATGGTAGGCCTTTGTGTACACAAGGGAGGTATTTGCATTGCAATGGAAATATAAGACTCGGGCTTTCACGGGAATTTCATTACAGGAGCTCATTATAATGCGGAACTATGATAGCAGAAGGAGAAGGAAATGGCAACCCACTCCAGTCTTCTCTCATGGGAAATCCCTTTGACAGAGGAGCCTGGTGGGCTACAGTCCATGGGGTCGCAAAGAGTCAGATATGACTGAGAGACTGAGCACTCGGCATATGGTAGCAGGAGAATGAGTTTAGGAATGTGCTTAGAAGATAGAACCAGGACTAGAGAGAATACAATGGAGGACACAGTAAGAGCATAACCAAACACTTCCAACACATTCTCAACTGGATAGGGACATGCAGTCTGAAAGAGAACAAGCTGGGAGAGGCACAACGGAAAGGAAATCTTAGGAAAGAAAGAGAAGTTCTTTTGCCCACTAAACAACTAGGCAAGAAATAAGTCAGAGATCTCGAGCTGTCTTACAGCACTTTAAAAATCATAAACATCTTAAATTTTATTTGCTAGAATTTTTCATCTTTATTCAGAGACTCGAAGTGAAAATTTAAATGTAATTGATTATGTAAAGTTTTATTTCTTTCATAATTAACAACTAGAAATTTTAATTTAAAAATTATAACACACAATCTTCTATATTGAGTAGAGTGATGAAAAGATGTAAAATGTGATGAAAGGATATGTATAAAATTAAGCTTTGAAACAGATCACCAGCCCAGGTTGGGTGCATGAGACAAGTGCTCGGGCCTGGTGCACTGGGAAGACCCAGAGGGATCGGGTGGAGAGGGAGGTGGGAGGGGGGACCGGGATGGGGAATACATGTAAATCCATGGCTAATTCATTTCAATGTATGACAAAAACCACTGCAATGATGTAAAGTAATTAGCCTCCAACTAATAAAAATAAATGAAAAAAAAAAAAAAAAGCTTTGCATGAATTTACATAATAGTCTTTTTCTGGTATTATGTATTCCACAAAAGTCATTGTTTTTTATAAAAATATACTTTTGTCTATTCCTCTTATCACCCTACAACCTTGAGACCTTCACTTAGAAGCATAGGTCTTTGCTTAGAAGTAACAATCTTTTAGCTCTTTTCCGAGGCTATTTCAGGGTTTAGAAGCTCAGGAAGCTCCTTGAGGTGGTAGAATACACCAAAGTATTTATGAGTATTTTCTCAGGAAGATGTACGTATAGGAGCATAACCACTCTATCCACTGTAGCAGATAGGTGGCCACCCCCAAAAGACTGCTCTGTGTGAACAAATAAATTGCATGATGCATGGTGTTTTTGAGGCTTTTCATATGAACACAATTTAAAATAAACTAGTTATAGGCAAATCTGTATTATTACAGTGTGAAGAAGCTGTAGCAATAAAATAAAATTCCACTTCCTAGAGGTATATTAACTTGGCATGCAACTAAAGAATTTTGAATTATTAATATCACATATTTTGCATTCTTATAAAATCTGTTCAAGTTATCTAAACTTCAAGGAGAATTGTGCTTCTTTATCAGTTGAATATATAAGATTAAGATTTTACTTAGCTTTTAAATATGTGTAAGATCTGTTATAATCAAAGGTTATCTCCACAGTGGTGATGAATTTACATTTACTCTACTTGATCTACAGCCGTTCATGGTCTATTTTGTAAGGTAAGTACTCCATCCTACATAACTCTCTCCATCATATAGCCAGTCCCACTCCTGAGTCTGTATCAGTTCACTACCTATGATTCTTATAGTCAGCCTTGCTACTTGCTAACGAGTGGTCTTTCATTCAAGTTTCAAAACAAACCCCTACAAATCCAGCATTAGTTCACTTTCTTTCATTTAAAACAGGTAAGAGGGTGGTTTGGGAGCCATTATTTGCAAGGATACAGCTTTGTTCAATTGGAAAAATTTTTATAATTAGCTCCTAAGAAATGTATCTGGAAACTCAAGTATGCAATTTAGTACATTTGTTAGGATAAATATTTGAATGCTTACAACAACTGTCATTACATTTTTAGAATTACAACTGAAAGAGGCTCAGCACACAGAACTGTGTCTGAAGTGGTTAGCTTCACAACTTCAGGTTGCAAACCAGACCCTCCGCTTGCACCCAAACTGATTAATCGATCCAAGAGCAGCCTGAATTTACAGTGGAAAGTAAGGATTTTACTGCCAAAAGTACTTCAAAATGTTTTTTAATTTAAAAACATTCTTTCCACTTTGTCTTGAATATTAAATGTGAAATTTTGCTTGCTTCATCTGACCTATTCCCCTAGCACTTTTCCATCTCCATAATCATCTTTCTCTTTCTGTCTATATAGAGCATCAAGTAAATGATAAATGTCAATCAAAATTTCAATAACTAATGAAAGTTGAAATGTCAATTTCTATAACCTAAACACATTTGTAATTGTGACTACCAATAAGTCTACCTCTCATTTTACTTTAAGTACTAACTTTCTTCCTTGCATAAAATTTAGTAAGCACAACAAAACATAAAATTTGCAATGTCTTATAGACTGCAAAAAGTACATTTTAACTTTAATATCTGAATTACCTCAAAAATAAAATGCAAACAGATTAATTTTACAGTGGTTTCTTTTACTTTGGTCGTATATACATGTGTGTGGTTGGGTGGGTATACTGTGTAAAAAATAGCTCACTATAATTTTATCTTTCTGATATTTTTAGGGTTCCAATGGTAATGGTTCTAAAATAAACAGCTTCTTTTTGGAATGGGATGAGGTAAGCAGTTTTGTTTTTTTAAAGCACTTATTTGTAAATTATTAATATTATGAATTTTTATTTGAAACATTTTATAGTGTTCTAATATTTTATGTATATTATTAAGGGCAAAGGTGAAGACTTCAAAAGTTGCTATATAGGTACCATGAAACAGAACAAGATCCTTAAACTGAATGCTTCTACAAAATATTCATTCAGATTAGCTGCCAAAAATAAGTTCGGCTTGAGGTACATTGAACTACTACAATATTTAAAAGTCTATACTTCAATAAGAACTTGAAACTAATTTTTCCATCTTCATTTATTTTTCAGTGATTTCAGTGAAATAGCAGTCTTCCATACATCAGGAACTGTGCCTCCAACACCTTCACCCCCTAAGCTGAAAGAAGCAGGAATCTGTAATTTGTCACTAGAATGGTGTGCCCCAACTAACACAAATCCAAATGACAGTCTTACTTATGTACTAGAAATGGAGGAAGCAGGATCTGTAAGTTTTTCTTTCATATCCTTTAGTCTTCAACTTCAGTCTTAGGTATATTTTATATGCATTTTACTCTGAAAAAAATAGGATTTTATTAATTTAATTAACTTACTTTGATCAAAGTATATGATTCCTGAGTCTCAGTGTTCTGGATGGGACCAGTGCAGAGCCAAGGTTAAGCAAGCCTATACAGGGAGATCTTAAGGTACCCAAGTCCCTACAAATAAGTTAGAAGCAGCAACAGCCATAACAACAGAACAGAGACTCAGAGAAGTGTGTTAGTTCTTCAACTTTGTGCCTATCCTGGACAAACATGCATGGTCACACAGATCTTCTACATACTTCATCAGGGCAAGCCATTTCCTCATCTCCCTGAATCCCTGATGTGGGTGGAGGGCAAATTGCTTCATTCCATTCCGAACTTTCAAGTCTATACTGAATAGACTAGTCAACTTAAAAAGCAACTATAACTTTTATGTTATGTATATTTTACCACGTTTTAAAAAAAACAACTAATATTTAGATATTTTGTGTAAGTAATACGTTAAGTGCCTTCATATACATTATCTCATTACATCCTGAAAAAAAGGAGCCCTTTAAAGTAGAAATTATCTCTATTTTTTTTATATACAGAGAAACTGAATTTCAGAGTCTAAGGGCCTTTCTCAGGACCACCCAGATGGAAAATAAGTTGAAGTTGGAACTTGAACCCAGGCCTGTCTCATTCCTAAATTCATTGTCGTTCATTTCCAGGGGTTGGGTTTTAAACCTGAATACAATGGAGAATATCTTTCATGCACTATAAGAAATCTTCAGAGAAGTACCACATACAAGTTCAGGGTATGTGGCTATAATTTATAACTTGTATCATATATTAATATAAAAGTATACATTTCACTAAAGATGAAAATGAGTGTCTTTTGGGGTTGAAATGAAACCTTTTTGTGTTTAGTTCTCAGAAATTTTCAGTCAAATAACTTGCTTTACAGTGTTATTTGCAAACTGCACATTTTTAAATCACACTTTTATTCCCAATGGTCAATCAAAGTATTCTCTTTCACTCAAACAGATCTTTGCCTGCAATACAGAAGGAAGAAGCAACCCCAGTAGAGAAGTAAAATATGCTACCTGTCCAGATAAGCCTGGATCCCCTAAAAAACCATATATAAAGGGAAAGATCCATGCACACAGAGTAAAAATTGGATGGGGTAAGTAATGTTTTTCTATTTTAAAACTCACTCTAACTATTAACTATTGAGAAAAAAATCTTCCTCTAATTGCCCTCAGCTTTACAAAGTAGTCTCTTAATCATTTGTATATTAAATACTTTACCATATAAATGTTCTATTATAAACGATGTTCTTTTTTCTAGTTCTCTATTGCTATCTCATTAACTCACATATGAACAAATTACTGAACCTTATATGAGCCTTTAAAATTATGGTTGTTCAAAGGAAACTATAAGCAAGGTGAAAAGACAGCCCTCAGATTGGGAGAAAATAATAGCAAACGAAGCAACAGACAAAGGATTAATCTCAAAAATATACAAGCAACTCCAAGCAGCTCAATTCCAGAAAAATAAATGACCCAATCAAAAAATGGGCCAAAGAACTAAACAGACATTTCTCCAAAGAAAACATACAGATGGCTAACAAACACATGAAAAGATGCTCAACATCACTCATTATCAGAGAAATGCAAATCAAAACCACAATGAGGTACCATTACACTCCAGTCAGGATGGCTGCTATCCAAAAGTCTACAAGCAATAAATGCTGGAGAGGGTGTGGAGAAAAGGGAACCCTCTTAACACTGTTGGTGGGAATGCAAACTAGTACAGCCACTATGGAGAACAGTGTGGAGATTTCTTAAAAAACTGAAATAGAACTGCTATATGACCCAGCAATCCCACTTCTGGGCATACACACCGAGGAAACCAGATCTGAAAGAGACACGTGAACCCCAGTGTTCATCGCAGCACTGCTTATAATAGGCAGGACATGGAAGCAACCTAGATTCCCATCAGCAGACGAATGGATGAGGAATCTGTGGTACATATACACCATGGAATATTACTCAGCCGTTAAAAAGAATTCACTTGAATCAGTTCTAATGAGATGGATGAAACTGGAGCCCATTATACAGAGTGAAGTAAGACAGAAAGATAAAGAACATTACAGCATACTAACACATATATATGGAATTTAGAAAGATGGTAATGATAACCCTATATGCAAAACAGAAAAAGAGACACAGATGTACAGAACAGACTTTTGGACTCTGTGGGAGAAGGTGAGGGTGGGATGTTTCGAGAGAACAGCATGTATATTATCTATAGTGAAACAGATCACCAGCCCAGGTGGGATGCATGAGACAAGTGCTCGGGCCTGGTGCACTGGGAAGACCCGGAGGAATCGGGTGGAGAGGGAGGTGGGAGGGGGGGATCAGGATGGGGAATACGTGTAACTCCATGGCTGATTCATGTCAATGTATGGCAAAAAAACACTACAATATTGTAAAATAATTAGCGTCCAACTAATAAAAATAGATGAAAAAAAAAAGAAAGCTGAGCACTGAAGAATTGATGCTTTTGAACAGTGGTGTTGGAGGAGACTCTTGAGAGTCCCTTGGACTGTAAGAAGATCAAACCAGTCAATCCTAAAGGAAATCAGTTCTGAATATTCATCAGAAAAACTGATACTGAAGCTGAAACTCCAATACTTTGGCCACCTGATGCAAAGAATGGACTCATTGGAAAAGACCCTGATGCTGGGAAAGATTGAAGGCAGGAGGAGAAGGGGACGACAGAGGATGGGTTGCTTGGATGGCATCACCAACTCAATGGACATGGGTTTGAGTAAGCTCCGGGAGTTGGTGATGGAAGGGAAGGCTGGTGTGCTGCAGTCCGTGAGGTCACAAAGAGTTGGACCTGACTAAGCGACTGAACTGAACAATTACTTATGTGAATTCAAAAATACTGATAATAAGACACATTTTTTTCATTTCAGCTGAGAAAGAGGAAAGATTGTAGAGAAATCGCTCTCTGATAAATGTATTTTGATTTTACATATTAATGTTTCTTTCCTAAGAATTTTTCCATTTTTACTATCAGATAGGCAACAATTAAAAGTGATGGTATTTAATGCCAAAAAAAAATTATGGTCGTTACAAGTAAGATTATATCTAATATAGAGGCTGTAATTAGGACACACTGATGATAAATATCAACTTGACAAGATATTATACAAATTATTTTGCCTCTAAACTAGGAAAATCCACTTTAAGGTACATACAATTAGCATTTCAGTCTCCTCCAAAGAACTTTAAAATGTTACTTAAGTAACATTCTAATAATGTAATTTGATTATGTTCTTAAGATCTTTATTAATATCTGAATATTAATATCCTGTTAAGTTTTATGTTTGCATTTTTCTTCCATGAAAAATCTTAATTTATGAGATAACATTGCAATGAAAGACTTTTAAGTTTACTCAAGAATAATTTTAATTTTATTTCTCTTTTTCAGAACCACCCGAAGATAATGGTGGGACAAACATTTCAAGTTACAGTTTAGAAGTTAGGGAGAATTTGGATGGTAAGGCATCATGATTTTTTTAAGGTTTTATTCTGAAATAATTTTAGACTTGCCTAGAAGCTACAAAAATAGTATAGAGAATTCCCATGTGCAAACTTCACTTAGCTTCTCTTAATATTAATATCTTAATGCAATATCATAGAACAATTATCAAAGCCAGGAAATTGCCACTGGTATAATACTATTAACTAAACCCTAGAACTTACTTGGATTTCTCCAGTTTTTGATAACAAATCATATTTACTAACTGATCTAGTATGATTTTATGGTTAATTCTATGGGGAATACAATTAATTACTGTAAATAGGTTATTGGACAGTAGTTAACTTCCAAAATGTTATATACATGAGATAAGATTTATAAGCTACCTATAAAAATTGGACAAATTTGCTTCTATCCCTTCAGTGAATTTCTGGAACATAATCTACAATGGAACCACAAGGGAATTTCTGTACAATCACCTGCAACCTGGTACTACATATAAACTAAGAGTCTTTTGCACTTCACCTATAGGCCATAGCCAGGTGAGAAAAGAGAGAAAGAAAAGTTTTTAAATTGAGGATTGATTTAAATTATGTTCCAAAGAAATTGTAGTGCATTAGATTTTGTTCAACATTTACTGCTGTCAGTCTATTTACATATAGCAATAAAAGACAGTTAAACCATTAAATTGTAAAAAAAAATAAAAACAAACATAAAAAATAAATTGAGGATTGAAATGAACTGTATAATATTACTAAATGTTTTAAAAAACTAAACTTGAATTCAGTAGCCATAAGGTACTTTGTATTTTTCTTAGCCTTCAGATATATTGACTGTTCAGACACCTAATCTTTCTCCTGCATCTTGCTGTCCTCCACCCTTGAATGGTAAAGTGCAGTCCAAAGAAACCAACATCCAATGCAGTAAGGCTTCTTCTGTGATTTTAATTACTGACCTAAATTTCCTGTTTTGTAACTTCTGATTTTTATATTGATATATTCAGTTGGCCAAAAAGTTTCTTTGGTTTTAAGTAAAAATTAAAGACACATTTTTTTCATTTTTACCAAGAGCTTTATTGAACATGTTCACCGTTTTGTTCCACTGCCTTCTGCCATTTTTCAGGAAACTTCATAATTCCATCTTCCCAAAACTTTCTTTTTGAGCAAAAGACTATTCCAGATGCCTTTTACAGTATTCCGGGGAATTGAAATATTTTCCAATAAGAGAATTTTATAAAAAATGAAATAAATGGAAACCTGAAGGTGAAATGTCTGGTAAATATAGCAGATGAATTAGGACTTCCCAGACAAGCTATAACTGTTTTTGCCTGGTCATCAAAGAAACGTGCAGTCTTGTGTTATACTGATGGAAGATTATATGTTTTCTGTTGATTAATTCTGGTGTTTTTCATCAAGTGTTGCTTTTAGTTGGTCTAATTGGGAGCGGTACTTATTGGAATTAATCGTTTGGCTTTCCAGAAGGAGCTCATAATACAGGACTCCCTTCCAATCCCATCATGTACACAACATCACCTTCTTTGGATGAAGACTGGCTTTTGGTGTGGTTGGTGGTGGTTCATTTCACTTACCTCATGATCTCTTCCATTCCACATTATTGTACAGTATCCACTTTTCATCACCCATCACAATCTCTCTTTAAAACGGAATGTTTTCATTATGTTTAAATACAAAATCATGTGAGGAATTATGATCAAGAAGATTTTTTTCCGCTTAACTTTTATGGACCCCAAACATCAAAGTGATTAACATAACCAAGCTTTATGTGAATGATTTTCAACACTTGATTTGGATATTTGGAGTATGTCTGCTATCTCCTACATGGTATAACATTGATTGTTCTCAGTTAATGTTTCAATTTGATCCCTATCAACTTTAGCTGGTCTACCAACTGTGGAGCATCGTCGAGGAAGAAATCTCAAGCAAGAAACTTCACAAACCACATTTGATACATTCAATCAGCCTCAGCATCTTCTCCATATACTTCACAAATCTTTTTTGGTGTTTTTACCTTTTTTGAAATAATAAATCATAATATGCTGAAATGTTGCTTTTTTTCTTCCATCTTCAACACTAAAATAGCTACAAAAACTCACCAATTTCATTGTCTTTTTAAATGCATGCTGATATGATAGCTGTTACAATACAAGCTTACAAAATTGTTTTCAATGAAGTTAAAGGCAACTAAACTCCACTAGAGTCATCTTACAGAAAATAAATGAACATTTTGGCCAACTCAATATTAAATCTATTAAAACAGAATAAATGGTTTTCTTTTAGTGCAAAATCAAATAATGTCTAGAAAGTTATTTCTTGGTAACTAAAATCAGAAAAAAATTTAAATGTCTGGGAATTAAAAAGCCAACTAACACAAATTGGTATAATTTGAGCTTTTTGTTACTTTAGCATAAAGTAACTATTATAACATATCTTCTTAAATTATATTGTGTTTTTAAGTACCATCCTTAAAATTTGCAATTTTTAAGTTAATTTTGCATATTTTTCAGATAGTAGGAAGTTGCTAAATAACACAGGAAGCCTAGTGTGGCACTCTGTGATGACCCAGAGAGATGGGATGAGGGGAAAGGAGGGAGGGGAGAGAGCAGAAAGGTATACATATGTGTGCATATATATGTGTGTGTGCATGCATAATTATGCTGAAGCCTGTCATGCTGCAGTCCATGGGGTTGTGAAGAGTTGGACATGACTTGGCAACTGAAAAACATATAACTATTACTGATTTGCATTTTTATATGGCAGAAATCAACACAAAATTATAATTTTTCATCAATTAAAAAAGAAAAATAAAAAAATTGTATATTTTTACAGACAATTCTCCTACAAAAGGAAAGTCTGAAGTACTTATAAATGTCAAAAAGGCAAATGGTAACCAAGATGATGCACAAGGGCACTCTGGCTCAGAAGTGAGATGCACAGTGAGTAAATTCATTCCTAGAGAATTCAGTTTCTGGTTAAAAGCAACAAATAAATCTGGGAAAACTAAATTGTTCAGCTGACCATTTGTTGTTCATTTCACTTTGGATGAAAACATGCTTCTACTTCTTATCAAGGTGGGGAGTGAACATGCCTGTACAATCATTTGTATGTCTGCTTATTTGTTTATTTGTGTTTATTTGCAGTCTGGATCTCATTCAGTGACATGTGAAACTGCTTCAGTCCCAAGCCCTCCTACTCAATGTGGTATACCTGTGCTAACCTGCAAGAGTCCAACCTGTGTTGTTGTTAGTTGGGAAGTACGTTATCAGTTTATTAATTTTGGTGATATAAAAGCACAGTAATTGGTTTAGAAATTTCTTTTAAAGTATATAACTCCCTAAGGAGTCAGAGTCTAGATTAGGGTTCCATAAATTTTGGACCATGGTTTCAGAACACACCTAAGACCTGTTGCTAGTGCTATTATAAAGGCTAAGGCTATGGTAATCCTGCTTTCCAAATCTTATATTTTTGAAGGATAATAAATTTAGAAAACCAAAGAGACAATCAATATGCAACCAATTGAATTTTTTAAACTAAAGAGATAATAAAATTAAATCTATTTATAGGTTTTTTAAAGTTTCATTAGGAAACCTCTGGTAGTTTGTTTACATATAACCATGGTATGACACATAAGAAATGTGACTGTGAAGTAATGAAGATTTTTTTAAAATTTACATCCATTTGAATATCTTCCCCTTCAATCCAATCAAACTCAAAAAGAATTTGCCTAGGTATCTTTGATTTTTTTCTTCCCTTTTTCCCAAATTCTAGCAGAGAATTTTTAACATTAACAAAAAACCTTTAGTCTGATAATAATAAATGATTACCTATAATGAAAGAGAATGTAAAAATATAGAGAAAATATATATATATAGAGAGAGAGAGATGAATCACTTTACTGTACACCTGAAATGAACACATTTTAAATCAACTATATTACAATAAAAATTTTTAAAAATAATAAAAAGTGATTGATCTGTTCACACCATTGTATAAAAGCCAGAGTGTATTGGGCTTTGTGTTTGATCCCACTAGTATGTTGGATTATGCAATCTTTTCTCTTAATTTCATTTGAGCCATTTAATGTTAATTTCAGTGTTCAACATTATGTTTATTTCTGTAGTTGTCTATATTTCATTCCATTTAATAGATTATAGGCTTTGACACTGAAAGGATCATATTGTTACTTTCCATAGTATTGAGTATAGTGAATCCTTATAGAAAGAGATAAATTTTTTGTTTTTGTTGCATTTTTCAGGTTCCTGTATGTAATGTTGCTGAAATCACTGATTACAGACTAGAGTGGGGACAAACTGAAGATTCGATGCACTTGATTTACACTGGCCCTTGTCTGAGCTATGAAGTTAAAGGTCTCATTCCTGCCACTACATATTTTTGCAGAGTTCAGGTAATCCTAACAGTTCTTCCAATGTAAAGAAAGTATTAAGCTATGCTATTCACATTCATAATATACCATTTTCAGTGTAAAGACCAGAAGGAAGTCACAGACTTCTAAATCTTAAATATTCATCATATCCAGCAACAACATTCTGGGTTCCTTTACCTTTTAAAGCCTCACATAATCTGGCACCTACTTTCTCTTTTTAAATTTATTTATTTTTTAATTGAAGGATAATTGCTTTACAGAATTTTGTTTTCTTTCAAACATCAACATGATGGCACCTATTTTCTATTCCAACTTGATCTGACATTATTTTCTCTTCAGTTCTATATTTCCCAAATTTCCCTGAACTAACACTCACTTGAAATGCTTTTATAAAACACTGAATTCTGCACCTCCACTCAGACCTACTGAATCAAATTTTCTAATCCAGAGATCTACTAATCTGTATATTATAAAAGCACCCAAAGTGATAATTATCATTAATTAGGAAAAACTGTGTAAACCATACCAAACAAACAAGTCTACTGCCACCCCAAGTATGTTTTGTACATTTGTTCATACTGGTTGTCTGCTATCTTGTTCCATAAAGCCAAGCTTCTGCATGAATGCTACCCTGAATACCTTAGGTGGAAGTGATCCCTTCATCTTCTACTCGAATTAGAAAATTTATAACTTTAAGGTTTGGGGAAACAGCCTACATTTAGAATTACCTGATATGTTGTCCATATAGTGTTAAGCCATCAAATTCTAGGAACCCTAATACTGGCACCTGAGATGCATGTTCCAGATTGCCTTTCATAACTGGAAGTTGGAGGGTTTCTTAAGTATTTTTTTAGAAAAGAATCCTTTGTAATATTTTTGGATACCCCTATTTTTGTATGAGAAAAATGATCTCATAATATATATTTATTAGACAGCCACCACAATAGTTCAAAAAATAGGGGAGTTAATGAACATTAATTTTGCTGTAGTGGGTCAGATATTAATGGTGAGACATTAATTAATTTAAAAGATATTAGAGAGCTGAAAATCAATGGACTAGCTTCTAGCCAAGACAGAGTACCCCCATAATTCCCAGGTCTTCCCTCTTACAACCAAAAAACCCTGAGCACAATGCAACAAGTAAACATAGAAAAACTCTGAATGGTGGAAAGAAAGAAAAATGTGGAAGAAAAAAATCCTGGGGGACTCACAACTTGAATAACACAGTGGTGAGCCCCTAGACTTCCTTATCATCTCCCATATAGCCCAAAAACGGTGTGAGAGAAGTCTCCAACTCAAAATTTCCAAAAGGGACAAACTGAACAAAAACTCCAAGAAAAGCCTGTTCCACCCCAGCCCCAGCAAAATGACTGGCAATAAGGTAGCCTAAGAAAAGAAAATATTGTTGGCAATACCCACTTTACTCCATGAAAACATCAACAGAAAAATTACACATATCCCTGTCCTTCCCCACCCATGAAATTTGAACAGGGCTAGTAGGAAGCTGACTATCCAATTTACCCCAGAAGCAAGCAACATGCTCTAATTTCCATAGCCAGAGGTATCAGTTTTGGCAGGGTCAAGCCGGTAATTAATCTTCCATCCTCTGCCTGGCAGAAGCAGGCAGTACTCTGCTTCCATTCCCCTGCTAACTGGTGTCAGTATGGCCAAGCATACCTCTTCCATACCTCTCACATGGAAGCAGGCAGCAGCTCTCTAATTCCATTGTAAGGGTAGTGTTGGCAAGCTCAGGCTCCACCCCCACCCAGCAGCAACATACTGAACAAAGTGGTATGATTCAGGCTAGTTAGCTCTCTACTTTCCTCCTGTTCCTGTATCAGTGAGACCCAGAGTGAAGCTGAACTTACATGTCCATCTACCAGCACTGAGACTGAAAGACAATATGGGAAGCAGAGCTAGTCAGCACTCAGGCCCACCCGCCTTCACCTGCTGTCAGTACGGTCCAGTGGAGAGCTCAGTCTCCATATCTTCTCAGCCATTAGAGAGGGATCTAGGTGTTGAGAAAGCTATGCTACTTGGTGCCTCAGTCTCCCCATTCTCTTCCCTTGGTGTCATTAAGACCCAGTTGGGAGCTGAGTTTACACTTACACCCTGAGTAAATAGAGGTGTTAATCCTGCACTTCCCTTCTCCATGGTATCAGCACAACCCAGTGAGGAGTTGAGCTTATACCCACACTCAGAGACAGCGATGCAGTATAAATAGTTGCCCTACTTTTTCTGGAAAGAAATCAAAGGGGCCTAAACAAAAGCTGAACTTCCACCCTACTCAACATTTGCACTATACCTCTGGAGGGATACAGTCTACTAAATTCAGTTGAATTCAGTCGCTCAGTCATGTCTGACTCTTTGCAACCCCATGGACTGCAGCACGCCAGGCTTCCCTGTCCATCACCAACTCCCAGAGCCTACTCAAACTAATGTCCATTGGGTTGGTGATGCCATCCAACCATCTCATCCTCTGTTGTCCCCTTCTCCTCCCACTTTCAATCTTTCTGAGCATCAGGGTCTTTTCCAATGAGTCGGTTCCTCGCATCAGGTGGCCAAAGTATTAGAGTTTCAGCTTTCAGCATCAGTCCTTCCAATGAATATTCAGGACTGATTTCCTTTAGAATTGACAGGTTTGATCGCCTTGCAGTCCAAGGGAGTCTCAAGAGTATTCTCCAACACCACAGTTCAAAAGCATCAATTCTTCAGCACTCAGCTTTCTTTCTAGTCCAACTCTCACATCCATACATGACTACTGGAAAAACCATAGCTTTTGACTAGATGGACCTTTGTTGTTAATGTTTTTGCTTTTTAATATGCTATGTTGGTCATAGCTTTTCTTCTTTTAATTTCATGGCTGCAGTCACCACCTGTTTTTTGTTGTTTTTTCTAAAACAGTCTACTAAAATATTAAATAAGATCCAGGTCTCATAGTATAATACTCAAAATGCCCAGAATAAATAATCATTTGTCATAACAAGAACCAGGAAAATCACAACTTCAATGGCAATAGAAACAACAGACTCTGTGAAGTAAGTCAGAGTTATCTGAAAAGGACTTAAGCAGCCATCAAAAAAATATTCTGACCAGTAATTGTGAGTTATCCTGAAACAAATGAAAAAATATTAAAAATCTAAACAAAGAAATAGAAGTCATAGAAGAAAACCAAATGGAAATTACAGAACTTGACAATACAATAACAAAATAAAAGCTTGATTGGATGGGTTTAATAGTAGAGTGGAGATGATGAAAGATATAGTCAGTGAACTTGAGGACAGATCATAGAATTTACCCACTCTGAACACCAGGAAGGATTTAGAAAAAAAGAAAAAATTAATGATTTCAGAGATATATGAAATAACAAAATAACTAATGTTCACATCATTAAACCCCAGCAGGAGAGAAGAGAAAGAGTAGGAATGAAAAATTATTCAAAAAACAATAAAAAGCATTCTAATTTGGGGAAAAACATAATCCAAAAGATTTTAAAAGCTGGACAAATCCAAAATAATATAAACCTGAATAAACCCACTAAGTCACATCTTAACTAAATTCTGGAGAAAACAAGAAAGAAAAATATCTTAAAAGTATCCAGAGAGAAATGGTACACTACTTATAGGTGAACATCAATCCAGATGACAAAAGATACCTCATCTGAAACCAATAGACAAGCAAGAAGTGGCACATTTTTCAAGTAGATGGGAATTGGCAACTGCGAACTATATCCAGTAAAAAAATATTCTTCAGGAATGAAAAGAAAATAAAGACATTCTCAGATGAAGAAAAAGTACGAATTTGTTGCCAGCAAAACTACCCTAAAAAATATCTACAGAAAGTACTCTAAATAAAAAGGAAAAGATAACAGAAGAAGGTTTAGAACTTCAGGAAATAAATAACATTGGGATTTTGACTCAAGATGGTGACATATGAGTCCTGAGCTCACCTCCCACAGGCACACCAAAACTATAACTAGACAGTAACAACTCCCTCTGAAAGAAGTCCAGGAATATTCTATCCAGTAAAGTTTTCCTTCAGAACTGAAGCAATATCAAGAGTTTTCCATGGGGAAAAAAATACTCACAGGATGGGAGAAAATATTTGTAAATCAAGTGACTGACAAGGGATTAATCTCAAAAATATACAAACAGCTCATGCAGCTCAATATCAAAAAAAAAAGCAAACAATGCAATCAAAAAAATAGGCAGAAGATCTCAATAGACATTTCTCCAAAGAAGACATACAGATAGCCAACAAGCCCTTGAAAAGGTGCTCAATGTGGCTCATTCTTAGAGACATGCAAATCAAAACCACAATGAGGTAGCAGCTCACACTGGTCAGAATAGCCATCGTCAAAAAGTCTACAAACAATAAATGCTGGAGAGGGTGTGAAGAAGAGGGAATCCCCCTACACTGCTGGTGGGAATGCAAACTGGTACAATCACTACAGAGAACAGTATGGAGGTTCCTTTAAAAACTAAAGACAGAGCTACCATATGATCCAGCAATCCCATTTCTGGACATATATCCAGAGAAAACCATAGTTCAAAAGGATACATGGATACCAATGTTCACTGCAATAGCCAAGACATGGAAGCAACCTAAATGTCTGTCAACAAATGAACAATATAAACAAGATGAAGTAGATAGATATAGATATAGATAAAATGGAGCATCATTAACACTGAGTCATCAAAACAAATGAAGTAATGACATTTGTACAACATGGATGGACCTAGAAGTTATCATACAGTAAAGTAAGTCAGACAAAGGCAAATATATGATAACAGCTACATGTGCCATCTAAAAAAATTATACAAATGACCTTATTTACAAAACAGAAACAGACAGACTCACAATTTCTGAAAACAAACCTACGTGTACCAAAGGGGAAAGGAAGCAGAGAAGGATAAATTAGGAGGTTGGGATTAACATATACATACTACTATAATTTAAAATAGATAACCAAGTACCTACTATATAGCATAGGGCACTCTACTCAATATTCTGTAATAACC